ACTGAATTAAATGCTATAAAAACCCCATACATGATCCCGGTTTTCTCTTAATTCCCATTATATGTTTTGTGACTCAAGGGAGTCCAAAGTTGGTGCCTTTGGCATCTCCATGCTCACCCCTTCCATTAATATTTTTCAAGTTATTACAATGACACAGTTGTGGATGTACCCTCACATGTGTAGTTAGAGTTGACGGGAGCATCTTTCAACAATTTTGTAACTAAGGCTTAGTTGATGTATTTTCCTTTGAGAAGCGTTGTAAATGTGACCTTAAAGGTCTAGACTTGTATTTACATTCTTTTGGAATATCTCAAATGTGATTTGGGCATATAATTGACCTTTACGACTTATGTTAGAAATGTTACAAGTTTGAATGATTAGGGATTCGAGTTGATGAATGGTTTTATCATGCATGACACATCTTATCTTCATTTTATATTCAATCATGTTTTTGGATTATTTGGGATAGTTTTGAGACCATAGGATGCATGGTTTGGGTTAAGAATGCATAAAGGCACTTTCTACTTAGGTTTTCTGCATTTTTTTGCCTTGCTACCAGGAGTAAGTCGACTCTTTTTTCAACTAAGCCGACTCAGTTCACTTGGAAACCATTTTTTTTTTTTTTTCAAAATTCATGCTCTTGGTCTAAAAAAGTCAACTTAGTTCACAATTGAGCCGACTTGTTCCTGCTACTTGACAGTTTTGAAGTTTTGTTTTCAAACGACCATATCTCACTCATTTAACTCCAAATTAGGTCAAATTTGAGTCTAAATTCAAGAATTTTAAGTTAGCTTTCCAATGATATTAACTTAATTCCAACTGTAGAGGAAGTTATGACCATTGTAGTGAGGATTGCTCCAAAATTGTAAAGGCTTAATTATGTGGGATTACTGCCTTTGTGTCTAGAACCACACCAAATGATTTTGTATGGTTGTGATGACTTAGATAGACTGCCCTTGACTCATTTAGAGTCAAGTCATTTCTATCATTCACCTTATAATGACCTTATTACCCTTAGGTGGTGTCGAGTAGTGTAGAACCCGGTTAGCGATCTGAACCTCCGCGTTTGAGTCATTACAGTAATGATGATGATGGAATAAAAAGTAGCAATTAAGCCATTGAAGCCCACGGCGACATAATAATGTTCTATAAGTGGTGTGACCGGACGCAGTTAAGGAGAACAGAGAGGACACTGGGAAGAGGCGAAGCTTCGCCGCCTTAGAGGTGGTGATGCTTCTCTGAGGTGTGGATCTATCGGATGTTGTTAGTGGTGGAAATTTTTTTGGGCATTGGTTCTTCAATCGACACAACTGTAGCTTGGATTACAAAGTTGCTGGTTGGGTGGTGGTGGTGGAGATTTGCCGGAGAAGAGGGGTTTGCCGGTGAGTGGTGGCATTGGGCAGTTATTAAAGATAAGTTATAAAGAGAATGTGGTAGTTGGTGGTGGTCGGCAGCACCGGTGGTGGCGAGGGAGAGAGAATAGGCGACACGATTAATATATATATTTATATATAAAATAGTAAATTTGTAAAGTGTTTAGGGTATTTTAGTCTTTTTAAAGTATTTTAGGTTAGAGAGCTCTTTTGACAAAGTTAAAAGGTATTTAAGTCATTTTACAAGCTCTGACACATGTGCAAGTGACGATTAGGGTGTGAATGAAAGACGAAACAAACTTTTTAAAATTGTTTCAATGTCATATTTAGCCAAACTTGAGGGGGTGTCATTGAAATTAACCTTTTTATTAAAGACAAACTCTATGGAAATGGATATGGCAGTAAATCATTAAAATAATTTTCGTTCTTTTCTTTCCCCTAACATGACTACTAACGTTTCTTTTCTTTTATTTCTTTAAGAGAAATGATACAACTTCCGACTTAAATTGCCGATTTATCCTCTGAATCTAACGTGGCCTGGCCACGTCAAATCCCAAAAAAAAACAGTTCTTTCTCTCTCTTCGATTCTCTCTCCATGATTCCCCTCTTGCTCTCCCTCTAGTTCTGCTATTGTTCTTCTCTCTTCAAATCTGGTACTAGTTAAAACATTATTTGTATAAAGAAAAATATCCAATTTAGCTTGATTGGCAACTGAATAAAATGCAGCTTCGTTGGTCCTCGAACCACTACAAAATGCTCTCTAATTGGGGCTATGGATGTGTCTGCACCATGTCGTCGTCAACTGTACCTTTGAACCCAAACGAGGTAAACGCTGCGAGAATCAGGGAATGGATGGTGTACCACGCCCGGTTCTTCAGATCCAGTCGGTTAAACAACCAATCCAATTACCGGCAGCGGGAGTAGCCGCAAACCAGAGAGAGGAATAAGCCATCAAATCAGAGTACGCCAGGTCCAAGCTCCGCTCTCCGTCGATGGTGAATCGCTCGAATGACTTCTAGATGGAGCTCAGATCTGGTGAAAGCTTGGCCTGTGAAGTCGACAACAAAGGCAAAGGAGATCACTTGGGACCGACGTTGTGGTCTTGGGGTTTAAAGCTTCGAATCAGGCAAAATTGGGTTAGATTTTATGTGCGGTGTTGTTGTCGAAAACGGTGATTTGATGCAGTGAAGTTTCTAGCGGCTCCTCCAAGCAACTCAGAGATGAAATTCTTGGTTGGATGATGATTGTTGTTTGATATTCACGATATCTAATAGCTCTCTTTCTCATACTCTCTCCCCGTACCGGTGGAGGAGCCAGTAGTGGTAGAAACAGAGGGAGAGAGAGGGGAATCGTGGAGAAGGAATGAAGAGAGGGAGCAGTGGGCTATGAGGAGGAGGACCCACGTGAGCTGCTTGGCGTTGTTGTTGCGGGATTTGTCGCGATGGAGACCTGGCGTTGAGTCGTCGTGGCTGTGGAGGAGGAAGTTGTCGTCGGCAGGGCCTTGGAGCTCGACCATGGACCAATTGTTGGGGTTTTCCATCTTGACGATCACCGGCGTTCCTTGGTGTGGCTCTTTGGTCCACCAATCGAACGACGGTGCCATTTTGGGGTTGTAATCCCAAAGACACAGTTCACGAAATCAATGTCAGAGAGACTACAAGCTAGTTTTCTGGATCGACGAAGGAAGAAGAAGAGGAAGAGATAGAAGAAATCCGCCGGAGAGAGAGATCGAATTAAGTTTTGCTTCCCAATTTTGACCTTTCACGTTGTAAAAGAAAAAAGAAAATTGAAAGCTGCAATTTTGTGATGTGGCCTAGCCACGTTGGAATCGGAGGATAAGTCGGTAAAATAGGTCGAAGACATATCATTTCTCTTTTAATCAACCAATCATGATAAATGGTTAACAGTATCTTTTTATTTTTTTCTTTACTTTTTTTATTTTTTTCTTCATAATTAATGTTATCGTTTTTTTTTCCATTTCTCTCTGGTTTTTCACATCATTTCCATAGGTATTTGCTTTAATATCCACCATTGTTACGGCTTTTGTTTTTTTCATCTTCGCATAGACGGCACCAATGTGTGTGTTTCAGAAATTTATGAAAACAAAAATAGAGCAAACTGACACCAATTACACTCAAGAAATATATCAAGATTCTTATTATTGCCAGGCTAGACCTATTGAACACAAGAATGCGGTAATATAAAATCTTTTCTCTCTATCCATTTATTAGTGATTTCTCTTAGTTTTATACTAAGAGTCAAATTTGATTCATATCTCCTTAGATGCTGGATTGATACTAATCCTCGATTTTTGTTGAGTAAATTGTGCAATATTAGACCTAATTTTGTTCCTTGATAATTTTGTGGGATCTCAGCTTATCATTTGGCTAACTTGGGGGGTCGATCGGCCTCTTTACCTTGTTCGGCTGGTTAGGTATGTTGTCCTTGTTGGCATGTGCACTGCCATGTGTTATGTTGTGTTGCAGTACAAGTTTTATATCTTCATTGGTGGGAAATTCCCCTCCGCAAGTAGGTTGTTCGACTTTGTTTTACATGATGCCATCTTATCCCTATCTATCTCACATGGGGTATGACCACGTCCTGACCCGTGTATGAGAGAGATTAACTTAGATAGTCGGTGCGGGAAGAATTTTTTTTTTTTTTTTATTTTTCTTAAAAAAAAAGGCATTGTTACTTTAGCCGAAATTCCCAGCCGAAGATTATTTCCAAACACCCACAACCATTGATGCAGTGTAGTGGATGTGTCTCCCACTACATCAAATGAATAAGAAAATATTCGATGAGTGAATATGTCATGTCATTAGTATACCTGGTCATTGAAAATCTATCATACAATAAATTAGTCTCCGCATTTATTGAAAAAAAAAAATTGCTTAATACTACTCTTTACAAACTACTCCCTCCGTCCCATATTAGTTAACTCACTACCATCATTTATCTTTAAGTCATTTGAGATCATTTTTAATCATATTCCTTTTATAAACTTATATACTACCTCCAATCTATATTAGATATCTTTTTCAATAATTTTGATTCACAAAAATTGTGAATCAAAATTTTTGAAGTCGACAACTAATATGAGACGGAGGTAATAATTTACTAAATTTTTATTAGTTGGCCATATCAATGACTCGATATAACCGGCTCTCCGTTTACCTTCTCCAAGTGGACGAGGAGCAGTCAATTTTCACTTAAGCTAGAAAACTTAGCATATACATTATTGGCCTTTCAATTGGAGTAATGTTACAAGAATTGGTTTTTTTGGCTGGCTTTAACAAGTAGTGTTCGACAAAGGCTGTTATACAATAATCAATAAGACAATAAGATAGACTCTCTAGTTGGTTTTAAAATCCGATCAAATCATTTTTTAAAATTAAAAAAAAAAAAAAAATGTGTTGCACCCAATGGCTGGAGGATATTTTCGTCTCAACAATGAATAAATATGGATATTTTGGTACGTATAATATAACAGTCATGGATTGAATAGAACTTGTAATTACTGTGTTGCTGCCACAGTGTGCAGACCCTTTATGGGCTCTATAAATTCCCCAACAAAGCTTAGATTCCTTGCCTCTTTGCCTTAAAGCAAGAAGTAACTCTCTGTCTCTCTCTCTCTCTCTCTCTCTCTCTCTCTCACACACACACACACAAGAGATAGTCTCTCTCTTTCTCTCTTACACACACAAGACAGTATCTAATACAAAGCTTGACCATTAAGTGGGCAAAGGCTTGTAAGTTTAGACCACAACTTCCAAGATTCTGAAATGGCTGTCTGGATTCCATTTTATCTTTGTGTTCTTCTTCTATCATCAATTAGCACAAATGCAAATTTAGAAGGTATATAATCAGAAAATTTTGATCTGTGTATTTTCCAGATTTCTTGTTTCTGATCATTATTTCATCATTTTCTCTATATGGTAACTAACTGATGAAGGTGTATATGTTCTTGTCATTGTTGTGACTGAACAGGGGATGCTCTGTATGCATTGAGGAGAGCTGTGAATGACCCACAAAATGTCTTGCAGAGCTGGGATCCGACTTTGGTGGATCCATGTACTTGGTTTCATGTTACTTGCGACTCCGACAACCGGGTCACCCGACTGTAAGCTACATCTCCCTTTCGCTTTCGCGTCTTGTTAGTTGTTAGTAGTTCTATGATAAGAGTCTCGAGTTCTCTATTTATTAACTCATTAGTGACCTAACAGAGTTAGAAAATTTCAATCTCTTTTAATTCTTGAAGAAAGATTTTCTCACCTTAGTTAATTAACTCTCATTTACTCTTTAATACTACGTACAACGATGGATCTCCTATTAGATATAAATATATAAATATATATATATATATATATATATATATATATATATATGATTTGTGAGTATATGAAGGTTTTTTTTTTTTTGGGCTAAAAATATATGAAGGTTTGTGTAAAGCTAGAAAATATGTATGCTGTCAATGGAATCTAATTAAATAATACAAACAAAAAGCAACTAAGCTATCTCTGTTTTAGCCCAAATTGACAATCCATGTTCCTTTTTTATTTGTAGGGTAAGGAGATTGTATACGTGTGTGTGTGTGTAATAGAAAAATGGAACACTTGGATTGAGTTCAAACTTCAAAGCGGAGTTCTTATACTAAATTTTAAGTTTCAACTCTAACTTCAATTGTCATTTTATTTCCATACATCAATTTAAGAGTAAAGTAAAAGATAACTGGAATTGTTAACAGACAAGTGATCTCAAAAGAAACGAAAGTAAGAAATGCAGTCTTGTACAAGACATTTTCATTGGGTCTCTCAATATTCTTTCAATACTGTTTTGGAGTAGTAATATGTTCTAATAGTACTATATTTTGTTCTCTTTAAGTACCCTATTTATTATATATTAATGTGGGATATATATGTGCATGCAGTGACCTTGGAAATGCAAAGCTGTCGGGCAATCTTGTCCCTGAGTTAGGAAAGCTTGAGCGTCTTCAATATCTGTGAGTATAATAATATGGTTTTCCTAATACCTCTAGGACTGTTCATTATCTTGTGATGTTTCCAAGGCAATTCTCTCTTCTCTTGGGTCAAACAAAGTTTGCAGGTCATTTGCAACGAATTAGGTTGATCCGATTCAAATTCAGCTACGATCTTCTTTAATTTGACTCCATGCAGTAATTCAATGTGTTTTACTTTAACGAATTCATATTCGATTTGTTAATAACTGAAAATTAATGCAATAATTCCATCGGTTTAGAGTTTTTTTTTTTATTTTTTTTTTCAAAAAAAGAAGAAGAAAGACACCATCCAATTAACTGAGGGGGTTACTTTTTGACTTATTGTTCAAAGTACCCCCACCAAATCAATGGGAATTTTATGTAAATAGTCTAATTATATATAAATAATTCCCTCCATGGGAGTATTTTAACAAAAGTAACCCCTCGGTTAGTTGGAGGGGGTTTGTTTGGCAAATAAAAAATAATAATAATAAATAAATAAATTTAAAAAGGGTTTATTTCAAAATCTTACAAGTCAAGGGAATTTATGCTGCTTAGATAAGGATCCTCTCCAACACAGAATTCAGTGGTTGAGATTAAATTGATAAATGAGATCACTAGTGATGATTCAATCTCAACCAGTGGATACTGTGCTAGACCTCTCCTGCGTCGGAAAGGATCCTTGTCTTATGCTGCTCACTCATATTTATTTATTTTTTCTCTGAAAATAGATATTTAATTTATTTCAAACAATAAATAAAAATTAAAAATAAAAATAGCATGATACACTTGAATCTCATCCCTACCCTACCTGTGGCATTGAGAGCAAATGTTAGGGGTGATTGAAGCAGGCATTGAATGTGATGGTATTAATTGGGGTGTGTTGTTTGGGTACATCGAACAGGGAACTCTACATGAACAACTTAGTGGGCCCAGTACCACATGAACTTGGAGGACTAAAGAGCCTTGTTAGCTTGGACCTCTACCGCAATAACCTCACTGGCTCCATCCCTCCATCACTGTCCAACCTCTCCAATCTCAGATTTCTGTAAGCACTCATTTATTCCACTATGTATGTGTGTGTGTGTGTGTGTGTTTTGGTGTATGGAATAAATATGATCAGATGTCATTACATCTACACACAAAAATATGTTGCACACTTTTGGAGTATTTAAGACTAATACATGCAATGTACGTATTTCAGAAGTGATTAGGTCAAGTGTGGGTTGGTTGAAATTATAACTACCCATAATATATAGAGTAGATTACAAACTGTATAAAAATAGATACTACCTCCGTCCTTTTTTAGTTGTCCGCTTCGTAAACTGTGACTTACAACTTTGTAAACTGTGACTCACATTATAAGTTACAGTTTACGAAACGGACAACTAAAAAAAGACGGAAGAAGTATATCTTTATGCATTAACCCATATTTGCACTCTCTCTTTTTTTTTTCAACTACGTGACTCTCTACTCAGTGATAATATCATTTATCACTAAATGTTGAATGTTCAAAAAATATTTATTTTTAAATTACTACTTAAAATTTTCTGTAATTTAAATTCAGTTAAAAAATTTCAGGCTTATTTTTCAATTTTATCAAAATACACCTAATTTTATCAATTCATAAATAGAAGAATCAAATCAAGTACCGTATTAGGGCATGTTAGTCATGATTTAAATAAATTTAGAAAATAAAATAAGTGCATTGTGAAATAAAGAGTGTATTTATCATCTCCCATATATATATATATATGATCTTTTTACTGTGTTATAGTATGATCATCAGTATGATATGACCTGTGGATCACGTAATGTCAATGCAGGCGACTGAACGGTAACAGACTGACGGGAAGAATACCAAGAGGGCTTAGCAAGCTTGGAAACCTCAAGATTTTGTATGTATCCATCATTTTTTTATTGCCCAAACTACCCTTCTTCCCCTCACACTTATAATTAATATATATATACATATATATATTGTTGAGTGCAGAGATGTGTCACACAACGATTTATGTGGAACCATTCCAACAATTGGCTCATTCTCAAAGTTCACGGAAGAAAGGTAATTTTTGACTTTGTTTATTCAGGCACATATTATACATTGAGTAATGCTATGAAGTCCGAATAGATCGTTTTAGGCAAATTTAAAAATAGCATCGGACAAGAACTTTTAAATAATATTCAGCCTCTGTTTTCGTTTAAAATACTTAGTTCAACGATTATCACATCAGTTCATTATAAAAATTCGTTATAAAAACCGTTTAAGACTTTTATCATTTTTTCCTTTACATTTGTATTTAGCATCTCTAATTCTTTTTAGTGTTTATTTTATTTATTTATTTTACAAATGTGTTTTTTTTTGGCAATTGGTTTTTTCATGCAGTTTTATGAATAACCCAAGACTGGAAGGACCAGAGCTCATGGGATTTGTGAGATATGACATAGGACAATGCAGCTGAGGCTGCAACAAAGGGTCATAAGTTTAGCAATGATAATATGTTGTTGAGTTGTTCCCTTAAATGTGAAGGCTCTTATTTCTTTTCTCACTTATATTATATGATATATATATATATAAGCTAGGCCTCCAAGTTTTTGTGTAACGAGATTGTTATCTCCATGTTACATTTTGTTGTAATATATTTATATATTATGTTAATGGAGGTGTGGAGGCTGCAACAAAGGGTCATAAGTTTAGCAGTGATAATATGTTGTTGAGTTGTTCCCTTAAATGTGAAGGCTCTTATTTCTTTTCTCACTTATATTATATTATATTTTATATATATATATATATATATATATATATATATATAGGCTAGGCCCAAGTTTTTGTGTAACGAGATTGTTATCTCCATGTTACATTTTGTTGCAATATATTTATATATTATGTTAATGGAGGTGTGGAGGCTGCTTGGTTTAAGGATGTTTATATATCATATTATATAGAAAAAATGATTATCTTATATTTATTACTAATATCTTTTGTACTACAGTTCATTCATGGACATTGATATGTAGATTGATAAATTAAAAAATAAAGAGAATATGAAAAGGAATATTTATATTTGTTTGTATCTTTATACTGTAGTTCATTCATGGATATTGATATGTAGATTGATAAATTAAAAAGGAGAGACTTTGAGCATTTGAATCTCTTGACAGCAGAACCTAAATCAATAATGAGTACCGCTCTTAACGTTCTGCACGCGTTTACGTTTCCACTCCTACTCGGTGACTTAAATTTTGTTGTTTTAGCATACTCGCTCTCGTTCTAGTTCTTGTTTAGGATAAAATGATTTGATAAAGTACTCTTACTCTATTACTTAAATTTTGTCCCTTTGACATACTCACTATTGATTCTAGTTTTATTTAGGTTATTACGTTTCCACTCCTACTGTGACTTGAATTTTGTTGTTTTAACATACTAGGATAAAATGATTTGGTAAAGTACTCTTACTCTTACTCTGTTACTTAAATTTTATCGTACTCAATATCGATTCTAGTTCTATTTAGCTTATTAGTAGGACATGACATCGGATTGAAGAATTGACATAGCACAAGTGCATATTTTGGTTAATCTGTTTGATTCTGCTTATCATAAAAAATTGCAATTGCCCTCAATTTTATTTTATTTTATTTTATTTTTTTATGTTGCCACTATACCTAACCAAAATAAAGAAAAACTTGTGCTATGTCAATTCTAAGAATTGATGTAACCAAAATAAAGAAAATCTTGTGCTAACAGGACATGCATTTATTTTGGTTACATCAATTCTTAGAATTGACATAGCACAAGTTTTTCTTTATTTTGGTTAGGTAAAGTGGGTGGCTATTTTACGAGCCTTTAATTATCAGCGTCTAAAATAAATGCATGTCCTGCATTCTTGTATACCATTTTTACTTTGAAGGTAGGTGGAGGGTTAAAAAAACAAAATGATCTTACCTATAAAAAGAAATAGATAAAAGTTCAAAATTCCATTAAAATGATATTACACACCCCACAACATAATATTCACAAAATTTCCCTTGCCCGAGTTCAAAGGCAAAAAATCTACTTTAAGAAAAGATCATACCATCTTTAGCTAATGTCCATTAGTGACATTACATATAAAGATCAAGAAGAATATTTGATCCATTCCAAATAAATCTCGTTGTAAAATTTTTATACTTTTGATCTTAATCATCTATCAAAAGTCAAGCAAAGAACTTTTTACCATAACCCTAAGAGATTGGCCTAGTGGTAAAATCACCTAGGCTTTGCTGCCTTCCTAGCACTGGATCTAGGATTCGATTCCCACTAAGAGCTTATGATTACTTGGGGCCACGTCTCTACTGTCATACTCAGCGACTTATCCAGCCCGGGGTAGAGATGCACCCTTCCTGGGTCCTCAGGATAACCGGGTTATTCTAAAAAATAAAAAAATAAAAAGAAAAATAAAAAGATGCTTATATTATATGAAGTCAATCTCAATGTAACCTCGTCGTCTTCTAGGTGAATCCATAAAAGAGGATGAAATTTTCACTAAAATGTCAGGCCAAAGGTTAATGGAGCCATTCAATTCAAGGGGGGCGTTCTAGCATGCCCATATAGCATTCAGCAAATGGATTTCCCGCCTTCATCCACTGGTTAACAGACTGGTGAGAGTTCAGCCAAGGTGTTGTGTATTGCAGGGGGAAAATTGGTCATATACTCGCTAAAACTTACTTCTGTACAAAATCTAGGCACAACACAAATATTAGAAACACCTATCAACAAAATCACAAGATACAAACTTCTAAATTACAGTAAGGAAAAGCCGAAATTTCCAGTCAATAGTTACAGAAATTGGTAGGATCCAGTGGAGGGACGATGTTTTGGCTAGGAAGACTCCTGACGTTGTTGAGAGTGACGAAAACTTGGCCTCAAAAACCTTTCCCAAGCTTAAAATTCCACAAGGCTGTGTTTGCTGAGTTTGGCGTTTGCTTTCTGGGGATAAAAAAAATAAAAAATAAAAAATAAAAAGTGTTAGATGCGTAGGGAACACATGAATAACTCAAAACTGTATGAGAGCTATTTATGGTTTCTTAGAATTACCGTTGAGAGCAAGTTCATGCTGTTCCGTCCAACATATTTCAAGAGAAAATGTCTAACCGGACCATAGAAGTAACAAAATTACTACGTATAATTTAATCGTCTTGTTATATTGACAAACAACTTTGAGAAGAATGTAAATTACTAATTACAAGAATAAGTTTGGACTAACAAGTGCAAAATCACATTTTTGTCGGAGCGCAACCACTTGACAAAAATTATACCAAAGATCATGCAAGTCTCCAATATTCCCTCCTATCGGATTTAAGACATACAAATTCAAAAAGGCTCCATTTAAAAAATGGAAGGATTTCAATTTACATAAGACTCTCTATTGAAGTTGGATCCCGAAACTCATGGGGATATTAGATTAAAGGTAGGAGAGATGTATTTTATTGCAATCATTGTGTGGTTAAAATCCTTGCCGGCATGGATTCCAAATAACCTCCTTCCGTACTGTTGTTTTGAATCCACACATATAAGGCTCTCAAATCATTTATCAAAACATAAACATAAATCACACATTCCAAATTTTTATTATAATTTTTTTAATTATTTTACAAAAATCTATGCATTTCAAATCATTCAATCCAAATGGAGCCTAAATGTTTGATGGCCCATTAGACATTATCAAGTAAATATTATTCATCTCTGTGCCTAGGAAAACCTCTAAAGAGTTTTACAATTATAAAAAAATAAATTACTACACGCATCAAACTATTCATAAAGATGCAATTAGTTATAGTTTGCCTGACATTGGAAAATTGTTTGAATATTTTCTTCATAAACTATTTGAGCAATTTTACTATAACATTTAACTCTTCACAAATTCGGACTTGCGGAAGTACCCTAATTGATTAAAGGAAAATTTGTTAACACCTAATCTTTGTATATAGTTTGATGCTGAAAGAATGATCAAGTGCTATCAGTTCTTCATTTAAGTATTCTTCTTCTTTCTTTTCTTTTTTTTTTTGTAAACTTTTTTCAGTGTGTAGAAGCACACCTAATTTTATGTCAAGAGAAAACATTCTCATTTGGGCTGGCTGAACAGCTTGTTAAACTTGATTTTACATGAAAGCATCATCATGAAGCAGATTATGAGTGAGTTTTAAAATAGAAAGCAAAAATTATGGAGAATTGATTAATTCCTTGGCGATGAAATAAATTCTTCAAGCGAAGGAACACATTGAAGTAATCTGAGCACTCATTAAAATGAATAACTGACATGCAACAAAGTCTAAGATGACAGGCAAAAATAACAGATAAAAAGGACATATTTACATATCTGCACCTCTACATGAGAAATTTTTTGGTCTGACCCGTACCTGATAATGAGAATCAGGTCTTTGGCCCCATAATATCAGTTGACAGGTTGTAAGAAGAAGATATTTCCAGAACAGCATCGATTCAAATCAACCTGGCACCTGTGTCCACTGGAAGACTTACACTCAGAACTAGAAAATTACATTTATGAATAAAAAGACACAATATGCATAACTCGGCTATAATAAATATACTGGCATTTGAAGATGCATAACAATCTCAGACATTTTGAACATATTAAGTTGCTACTTGTCTATTATCGTCTTCATCCTCGCCTTAATCCCATACGAATTGGGTCGGCATTATATCTCGTCTATTACTGCATACCTATAACCTACAGCATTATATTAACTCTTTTATATTTATAAATAAAGCATGCAAAAACGATAAACAGTCAAGGAGCACCTAAACTTTCCAAAAAAACTGTCAGTTACTTGTGTGGTTTGGGGGTGATTGAACATATCCCCGAGGTTTACCTTGCAGCCTCGCGTATCAAAGGTCACCAAATTGGAAGGTTCCCCGTTTCCCAAAACAAAAATTAAAAAGGAGAATTAATAATACTATAGGGAGAATATAAAATATAATTTACAACGCTCTTTAAATAGGCTTTTAATTTTTATAGCTTACACAATGAATCTAGATATTTTTCTCATTTTTTACAGACACCAGTTGTCAAATTTGGCAAATCCTCAAATGCTAGACTTGGAACATCTGAACTTTGTTGGCAATACCTAGAGTACGTCATACCTATGCGAAAAAAGATGAGAGAAGGCCTAACCTTTGCGTTATTTTGCACAAAAAGACTACTAAGCCTACGTCCTCACACTTGCCTGTTTAGATTTTTTACCATCATGCCAAGCAATACCCACAAGTGGATTGCTAGGAGGGATCATGACAACTTTGTATGCATGCCAACTTTCTGTATTGATCATTTTTAATAATTTTTATTTAGTGTTTTTTTTTTTTTTTTTTTTTTTTTTGATTAGTAATAATTTTTATTTAGTGTTTTATGTTGAAAGAATCACAATATATCAGAGACTAAAAAGCTGAACAATATGGAGTAGGCATAACCCTGGTGTTTGGCAGACTATGCAAGGAACTGAAGATGTACAGCTAAAATAGATGCCAAATGGAAAAGGTCACAATCTTCATGCAGATCAGTCTCACATGTCAGGTATAAATTAATAGTGTCAATATATCACAACATTCCAATCGGGAACAACACCATCAGATGACTTTCAATCTACGTTGTAACCAAATAAACTTCCATTACCTTTTCTTTTCAGAGGATAAATACTGAATTTCTACTATATGGTAGTAACATACATATCTCACTTATCCATCTTTGTATTGTAAAGCGCATGAAATAAATCATTTTACTATAGTGAAGGGCACATTGTAAAGAACCAAGAAACTTTTGGTTTTGACACAAATAAAGCATATGGCTAAACTAGCACATCTTCCCTTCCATGATCAATTAAAACCACACTACAAGAATCCACCCTCGAAACCCATTAGAACATTGAAACAGGCTCTAACACATGATTTAGGACGAACTGTAAAAACTAGAAAAGAAATAAGCAGTGTTTATACTTAATTACCTCTGCTTTGACCAACTGGAATGACAGTCTCAGAAGCAGTTGATGATGGCTGGACAATTGATAAGGAAATTGGTGTCAAAGGAGGTGAAGCAATATCTTCAGCCATCTTCGATTTGGGAGGTGCTTCCAATACCTCGGACACAGGTAATAGAGTCGCTTTTTGACCTCTGGAGGGTATCGAGAAACTGCGAGGGACGGTCTGAGGAGGCGTTGGCAGAGGAGATGCTGCATTGGAAACCACAAATTTATTTGTAGCAGGATGCTCTTGACCTTTTGACATCAAGGGGGATGAATGAGTGACTAAATATGGTCTGGCAGCTAACTTGGAGTTTGAATTGGCTGGCGGTCTAGGAAGCTCGTGAAGCTCACTTATTTTCGGTGATGACATAAAGGGAGGGGAAGCAGTAGGAGATACTTTGGGGGGTGATGATGACAGAGGCAATGGAGTGCGCAAAATAGGTCCAGAAAACAGCAGAGGGTGTACTTTTGAGATGACAGGTTCTCTGGAAGATAAAACAGACTTGTTTAGCCATGACTGATTAGACAATGGACCAGAGAAAGCTTGTCTTTTAATTTTTTTAGTATCAGAAGCACGACGATCAATCTGTGGCAATGAGAGTCCCTCAGACAAAGGAGGCGGTAACCGACTGGATGTAGTGTTGTTGTTGCTCTCCTTGAGTACTGCATGTGTATTTATAACAGTGGGCCTAGGCAATTTCTCATCTCCCAAAATCTTCTCATATTTTTTCTGTTCTAAAGGAGACGAATGCCATAAATTAGGTACACCCCCACTGATACTTGCCCGTCTTGTTTGAGGAATTTGAGAATCTAATCCTGTAGAAACTTGACCCTTTGTCTCATCTGGTGTTGGTAGCACGTAAGTGTGGAACTTCCTTGTGGATAATTGCCGCATATGTCTAAACCTTTCAGCAGGATCAACTTTTTTCTCAGCAAAAAGGGGAGCTGATTGGCTGCATGTTTTTTGTTCTCGACCAAAAGCCAAAGAATCCCTATCAGGGATTTTGTCTAGATTTTCCTGTAATAAACAAAACAAAAAAAAACCGTTACAATTTTTCATTTTACTTATCAAAAAATAAATAAATAAATAAACAAAACAAAAGGCATGAATTTTGGAATCCATAAAATAGCTGTTGGCTGTATCAAAGATCAAATTATTCAGAACACCTTCAAAAAGGAGCAACTAAAATTATATATATTAATCATGCATATGACAACTTCAAAAAGCCACACTAAAGGATACATAATGTCTAAGCAAATACACCTGTTAACTGATTCCAGATTCCACCCAGGAAATGAACAGAGGATAAAATGTTTTTTCTTAATCGAATAAGTCCAAAACCAATAAACATAAAGTACATATATCCATATCTACTAAATTTAGTCACTAAATAGAGGGATACAGATCTTTAAGAAAGCATTTAATCTCAATGACCAACAGCATCCAGCTAATCAGATTAAACTGACGGACCCATGTCTGCATTAAATGGACATTCTGCCTGTTATTATTTCATGAGAAAACAGAAGGTTTTCTACCTTTGGTATGTCCACTGTAGCAACTTGCGGAAATGTAAGGTCCACGTGATCCAACTGCAGAAAAATTGTATAGATTAAAGTAACAATCACAATAAAATGGACATTATGTTATTAGGCAACAATTTCAGTAATAAAATTCTGGGGGAAAAAAATCAGTACTGAAAACATAAAAATACTCAAAACAAGATGCCAGCTCTTTCTTTTTTTCCCTCACCGAAACAAAAAAATTGCACAGTAATGAGAGTGAAATGTTCTAGCCGATCCTCCTTTTGTTGCAAAACATTTGCAGCAATGCTTTTCAGCATTACTATGCCAAGAAATGAGATTCTTGATCAAATCATCTTTTCAATCATATGCATGATGGTAAAGACTGAGTGACACAGGATCACTTTTTCTAAGGATTTCCTTATGTTTCTGGAATTAGTAGCTGAATAATAAATAATGTTAAACCAAAAAATCATGCTTGACAGTTCTAGGTAAATCATTACAGGTTCTAAATTTTTCATCCATTATAGTGGATCATATTGGTCTTACGGAATCATACCTTTGTAAGATAGTGGTAGTAAATAATGAGATAAAATAGATATAGAAAGACAACCTAATAAGAAGGGGAAATTTTTTGGAAGTGAACCTGTTTGGCATGAACCTCCCATCAATGCCTTTAGTAATGGTATGACCAACAAACCATGATTACAGGACTAAGATGAAAAGACAACTGTCCAAGGATAAATTCTTCTTTTATGATTGGCTCCTATAAATATATATAGTCTATGATTTGACAATTATCTTATTCACTGTTCCATGAAAGAACCAAAATAGGGTCGATCTTTCTCAGTCAGTACCAGAACACATTAGAATCTCACCTCCATTGAGTTTCTTGTAGAAATATCATGCGGTAGGTCATTTGGTCCATAGTCAAAACTCAACTCGCCATCATCATGATCATCATAGCTATCACTGTCATCATCATAGTCGTCATCATTATCATCATCACCCCCATCATCATCAAGTCCACTGAACTGATAATCAATATGTTGCTGTTCAGTGACCAATTTGACATGTGGATCAACTGTCTCAAGCGATGTAACAGCCTTTCTGAAGAAACACAACTGTTCTCAAGCATGAAAGAAGGCAATTCAACAGTCATCCACTGACAAGAACAATGACGACGGCATAAAATATTGAAGGGAAAAAAATAAAAATAAAAATTACCTGAGCAGCATGGTGCCGAGCTGCCTGTGTAAGAAGACTTCGGGATTGTCCTTCCTTCAGAGACTTCAAACGGAATAGAAATAAGGTTGCCTCCTCATCATATTCATCATGAGCCACTTGCAACTGCTGTGGAGAAAATGTTTCTCCTTTATTGCTTCTCAACCTTCCCCTTTCTCTGTGTCTTGTTATCATGTGTTCATATACACCTCTGAAGATCATAAACCCGAGGTAAGAAGACATTCATTTCAAGAGGTCAAATAAATAAAATAAAATAATTTATGGACAAATAATTTTGGACCTTTTTTCATCACATTGCTTCTTCATCTCCTGCATCAAAATAGAAAATGGAAAACCCATCAACTGCCAAGTGTAAAATAAAAAAGAAAAGGCTTGGATAGCCCTATACACATGACAATGTGAAAAAATGCATGCATAGAAGCACCAAACCTAATACTCCCTCTGTCTCAAATTAAATGTCCCTTTTCGGGAATCTAACTTTTTAAGAGTATGTGTTTTAATATTTTTTTATTGTATTGTTAGTGAATGAATTACCAAATATGTCCATAGTGGGTTCACAAGATGTGATGGTTTACTTTTTATAAGTTCAATGTAAGATGGTTAAATTGGTAATGTTACAAAAAATAGTACTTTGACTTTTCAAATGGGATATTTATTTTGAGACGGCCAAAAATGGAAAGGTGGACATTTAATTTGAGACGGAGGGAGTATCAAATATCTCCCAGAGGAGAATAAGCATGTTAGATGATTAAAAAAATAATAATAATAAATAAATAAATAAATAAATAAAACCCTTATATACTAACCATGTAGTAATTATTAGAATGGATATATACATGAAGACACTGAATACAAGCTCAGATAAAAATTTTAGGTATACATATGTTATTTTTTGCCAGAGAAGCTCTCAACCAATTACAAGCATATAGAGTGAACTGTCAATCTCACCAACATTTAAGTTTTTAATTTAAGAATAACAAAAAAAATTGTTTCCCGTTTTACCTTACGCTGCGCTTGGGAGCACTGAATCAGCGCCTTGGAATTGTTATTGGAGGATATTTAGTTCAAAGTTTTAGAGTTACTAGACATAAATTTGTAAGTTTTTTCTAATCATAATTCAAGAAAATCTAGTACTTGATTGTTCGCTTGGGGATAAATTTAATCTCTGACATTATTATTAATTACTAGAGATTTGACTTTAAATGTTACCCTAAGGTAGGATCCAATGCTGCTTACCATACTTAGGAAGGAATACAGACTAGCATTACTTACACAATAGACAGCATTCAACACTTTTTTTCTTATTCTAATATTAAGCTTGATCGTGCCTGTGGAGGAGCACAGAACATACCCGTGTTCGTTTAACTACGCATTTCAGAGTCAGCAAATCTGTGTGTAAAGTTCAGGCAGCCGATCATGCTACCTCCATCTTGATGCTCACTTCTAATTATTTTATATAGCCTAAATATTTTAACTATTTCTAACATCTCACCACCCTCTCAAATCTCAACCCCTAAATCAAACTTTTTATGACAAGATTTTGAGCTAAATTTAAAAGAAAAAGTTATGAAAATTCTAGAAGCCAGACGATGAAGAATTTAAACATGTTTATGCATCGCATAAGAACACCAATAGCACATGTATACACTGATTACATTAAATAGTCCATATAACAAACCTCAACCGTTCGAAGTTCATTAAGAAGGGATTCTGATGGGATTGTGATTGTCCGGAAAATATGAGAGCGCTGAAATAGACAGTAAAATAACTTGTTAAAAAACAAACAAGGAAAGGATTCTAAATTGGTTTTCATAGAACATTAAGGACCCACATAGTTATCAACAAGTTTCTGGAGTTCAAACTGCAGTTTTCCCAGCATTAGCAAAACTCTTCCTGCATAAGAATGTAGAAGACTCAGATTTTGGGGGGAAAAATGAAACAACTATACAGAAATAACAAAATATTCACAAGATATAAGATAACGTCTAAAAGTCTCAGGTGGTGGACAGTTTTGTGGATATTGGCATGATATGTAATGATTATATTGGCAAAATCAGGATCTTCGAGTTAAAAATAATTCAATTTATCCCAAGTTAAAATGTTCCTACAACGAACCATGTCCCTTTACAAAGACCCATGGTCTGTATTGTGCCATTAGCCATGTCATTCGAATAATTAAAAGTGCACAAGAAATCGTCATTTTGTGGAAAAAAAAAACAAATTGACAGTGTTGGCAAACGGAAAACCATACACTTTCCAAACCTGATTCTCTCTGTGATTTTCTATCTGTGCTAAGTTTCCATAGAAACATTCCTCTACTACACTGGCACCATCCTTTCTAGCAAGGGCTCTTAGGGATCATCTACCCAAAATATTTTTCCCTTTCCCTCCTTATGGCTCTGCAAAATCTTTATTGAGCATCATACTATACGTGATGGGGTAGGAAGAGGCCAAACTCAAAATCAACCTGTACAAACGAAGTTATGGTATACATCCCTAGGACCCCTACATGAGTGGCCATAATGACTTTACATGGAAATAAGAACCCTTAAAGACATTTCCTGAACAATTTAGCCTGCCATTTTTACCTCTTTTTCATTTGTTATTAAACTTTGGTACAAATATTCCCTTGATTCTCTTATGAAGGTATTTCCGCTTTTATTGAACAAAAAGCATTGACATGATGGTATTTTATAACATACATCTCTAGGAACACTAGGTGATTCCCTAGGGTCTTTAATACAAATGTATTATATGTATTGAAGATTTAATGGAGGAATCAGTGGAGGAATATCCTCGAGTAATTGATATAGTTTCCTATTATTGAATATTTGTTGTTATTAGAGGAATCAGTGGAGAAAAATCCTCCTGGTTTCCTATTTTCTATCTCTTTCCATTCTCATAATTTCTTCTCCTATATAAAGGAGTCTCCACCATTGTATTGTGTATGAGTTGAGAGCGTATTATAAAAATGATGTAGCCCTTTGGGCTCTTTGTGTCATGGATGTAAGCCCTGGTGGTTGAACCACGTAATATCTTTTTATTTTTCTCGTTTAATTTTTCTTTACATATATTTCATACTTTACAACATGGTATCAGAGTCTAATTTCTCTTCCTAGGTTTGGACCCCTATTTTGGGGTATTCCCTTAGCATCTGAAACGTTGCTAAGGGTTTCTCGGTACTATTTGTGACTTGCTTGGACGCCGGTTTGTTCAGTAGCATTGTCTTCACCTTTGTTGTGTCTCCGACAATTTTTGTTTGACTTGTTTGGGCTGCCAGTGTGTTCGGTAACATTGTCTTCGCCTTTGCCGTGTCTCCAACAATTTTTGTTTGACTTGTTTGGACTGCTGGTGTGTTCAGTAGCATTGTTCTTCACCTTCTCTCAACTCTCTTCATCATTCGCACTTGGTGCTACTCGTCATCTAAATGGCAAGTTGGGCATTCATGCTCCAACTTGAGGGGGAGTATTGAAGATTTAATGGAGGAATCAATGGAGGAAAATCCTCAAGTAATTGATGTAATTTCCTATTATTGAAGATTTGCTATTATTAGAGGAATCAGTGGAGAAAAATCCTCCTTGTTTCCTATTTTCTATCTCATTCCATTCTCATAATTTCTTCTCTTATATAGAGGAGCCTCCACCATTGTATTGTGCATGAGTTGAGAGCGTATTATGAAAGCCCTTTGGGCTCTTTGTGTCGCGGATGTAAGCCCTAGTGGCTGAACCACGTAACATCTTTGTGTTTTTCTTGTTTAATTTTTCTTTACATATATTTCATACTTTACAACAGTATGATATCCCCTTCTTCTAAAATTATTAATACAAATGAATCGTATGATATCCCCTTCTGCTACAATTATTCCTTTTACCTGAATACAGTAAGATACTTCATCAAACCAAATCCATTTACACACGCGCATACATAAGACAATTCAGATTGTATGGAGTGACCTGGTGGTTGAAAAAAGAGAAAGGGGGAAGTGGAAGAGAGCGGGTTTGAGTTCATGTTTTGCAAAGAAATAAGAATGGCACGGAAGGGAGAACATTCTGGGTAGATGGCCTACAAGACCTGCCGCCAGTAGTGCTGCCAATGTACCGTCTAGGCGAGTAGGAGAAGACTGGAGATAGACCTAATCTTCCTATTATTGACGATTTGCTGTTATTAGAGGAATCAGTGGAGAAAAATCCTTCTTGTTTCCTATTCTCTCTCTTTCCATTCTCATAATTTCTTCTCCTATATAGAGGAGCCTCCACCATTGTATTGTGTATGAGTTGAGAGTGTATCATAAAGTGATGTAGCCATTTGGGCTCCGTGTCGTGGATGTTAGCCCTTTGGGCTCTTTGTGTCATGGATGTAAGCCCTAGTGCCTAAACCACATAATATCTTTGTGTTTTTCTCGTTTAATTTTTCTTTACATATATTTCATACTTTATAACAGTATGATATCCCCTTCTGCTAAAATTATTAATACAAATGTATCTTATGATATCCCCTTCTGCTACAATTATTCTTTTTACCTGAATACAGTAAGATACTTCATCAAACCAAATCCATTTACACGCGCACATACACAAGACACAAGACAATTCAGATTGTATGGAGTGACCTAGTGATTGAAAAAAGAGAAAGGGGGAAGTGGAAGAGAGCGGGTGTGAATACATGTTTTGCAGAGAAATAAGGATGGTACGGAAGGGAGAACATTCTGGGTAGATGGCCTACAAGACCTGCCGCGCAGTAGTGCTGCCAATGTACCGTCTAGGCAAGTAGGAGAAGACTGGAGATAGACCTAATCTGTGGCACAATTTTGCACAAAGCGTGCTCTAAGACTCAACCCCCATCTGTACACTTGTCAGCTTGAAAAATTAGTCGAGGTCACATACAGTTCGCGAAGTCCATAGAATAAAAAGAAAAATAGAAACATAAATCAATTATCAATCTCATCACCAAAGTATGGTTGCATTCTAGCCAAAGTTAGAAAATTTCAACTTTTGTTTTCTCAGCTGAAATTGTGAGTGAGTCAAAAGCAAGAGACATTATTTATATTTGGCATGCAATGTCTAACTCATCTAGACAAGCAAGATGCATAAAGAAAGAATATACAACCTAAATACCAATGCTATGGTTGAGAACAAAAAATCTACAGATACATAGGAACATCTTTTCAAAACTTCTTTTGATAAGCCAAATAAAAAAAAAGTCCCCAGGACATCAAAAGCAGCAAAGCATATTAAAATTATGAACTATAATTTGTACAAATGATTCCAGTGATAGTGGAACTTTCATTTACTTACCACTGTCTTCATCATCATTCAATGCAGTTTTCTGAAGAAGACAAGTACCCATTTCCCGTAACGACTCCGAGAACTCTGAAAATAGCCAAAGTTGATAAATGATATTTCATGTTAATTAACAACACCCGAATATATTGCCATTAAAAAATATGAAAAGGGTAGATACTAAAGGAATTCAAAAATCAAAAAATCTGCAAGTGAAGGGTTAAACCAATCAAGTCCTCAAGTAAAATACTGCTGCTTGTGTATATTCAAGTGTTCCTAGCAAACCCATTATAGCAGATCACATAAAAAATATCACCATCTTCACAATGAGAATAATAAAACCAACTCTTACATTCAGCAATGCACAATTTTGGATTATTGTGTGATAACTGATAACTATGTATCAGGTACCCGTTCTCATTATCAACAGGCTCCATTACAGACAAACCCTTGAAACCTAAGGTAGTTCCCAAAAAGTGATTGGTTCAAGTCTCATAATTACGTCAAGGATATGCTCCAATTGTCAACATAGCAGAAACAAAGTTTAACTTCAACTTGAATATCTGAATCGATTTATTGCCATATTCTAATACTGTTGTAAACCTACAAAAAGAATTGCAACTAGCCAAACCTTGACTAAATGGGGCTACACATTTGTTTAAACATTGATGGATGAAGAACGTCAAGCATGTAATAATACTACCAACATGTCGTACAAGCTAAAGGCATATTTTAGATTTTTTGGACAGTTTACACTCTTGAAAAAGGGTAGAAGGATTTCTACCGAGTAAGCCTCTTCCTACGTTCTTGTTATTAATAACCTTTTATTCTGTGCTCAAATTCAATAGGGCTCCTGTTCTTTGCTAAGTGCTTAGGGTACTAGAATGACATGTAAATCTAAATTAAATTTTATTTGTAAATGTAAAATGGAACATAGAGTAAATTTGATTAACTTGGGTGCATGATATCTAAATAAAACATGCTATCAGAATAGATGATCTAGTTAGCCTAATTTGGGTGCATGATATCTAAATTAAAGCATTACGTCAAGACCTACTCAAGGTACAAGATTGTAAGAAGGATTCTGTTGGCCCTCCTCAACTTCAGTGATCAGTTCATTAATTCCATATCCATATTTCACTACTGCTCGTATTTGCAGATGTTTATTTTAAATATGTAAGTTCTACTTGATGGATTTCTCAACTAGGACTCAATAATCCTCCTGCAATCTCCATTGTTCCCCAGACTGCTGGTCAATAACCTATATCACAACTCACATTCGGGTAATTCTAGATTCTGGCATGCTAGAACTTAAAGCCCAGGGATTGTCTGGCTGTTGTCCATTCACATGGACCTTGAGTCCAAGGTTGTGCAACTATCATCCATTCTCGAGGACTTATGGCCTAGGATCGTGTGGCTATCGACTCTTGTGCATTCTCAAGGACCTATAACAAGGGGTTGTGTGGCTATTGTCCATTATCTGTAGACAGACTTGCAACGCTCTCATCTCTAAGCATAAGTCTCAACAAGAAACTGAATTACTTGAAGACCAAAAGTATACTGTTGCACCTTGTGCACTACCTAAGTTGGGAGCAAGATGCAGGGGAATTCTCCAGCTTGGTGCAGGACCAATCGGTCATGACCCACCTTAAAAATCATGAATGATGCCTTTCTAAAAGCCTAAGAGGTACTTGGATTGGTGGCTGAAGTTAGGCTTGGTCAAAGGTAACCCCTCCTCAAGATCTACCTTGACCTTACTTAGAGAGAAAGAGACCACTTTGGTTCCCGAGCACCAAATCCAAATGCCTTCCATATATATATATTCTCCTGAGTAAGTAATGCCTACAGCCTACTATAGAGGTTTGCCATTTCGACATTGTATAACATTCACATTAGTTAATCTTATCACATTATAAGATCACATTTCCTACCATGACGATAAGTACAACTCATACATTGTCTTTATCAGAGCTTGTCCTTGTTATTGTCATACCTTGTCGTTGTCATGCCATTACCACCATAATGATAAACCATGCTTTCCTATTGTCATGTGTCATGATTCCCTAACATCAACTTAACATCACACAACCCTCACATTTGATTATAAGAGGTCCTTTACCATATGTTGAGAAGAGAAGCTTAGGAGAGAGAGCTCTCAATGCAAACCACCAAAATACCTAGAACTCGAACTCACTTAGACATCTATATTATCCATACCTCTATCCTCCACCCACAACTTTAGACTTCAATTAGATCTCTATACTTAGAATCAAATGGAACTTAGACGAGACCTTGACCCCACAGAGTCTGTGCCATGGTGGTGACTGATGCACTGTTACATCTCTGTGACTCTGTCACAAGTCAGTCTCAACTCGACTTCCACCTAATATAGTCCACCTGGAACCTCTATAGTGTTGCATGCAATACCTCCATTTTCCTGTTAATCACCTTCAACCCACGATAAAAACAAGGACAGCATCGAAGTTGGCATCAAAGAGGTAAAATATGGAAGCGCACACACACAGACCCAGAATCCCTGACTAGCAAAATTTGACGTTATTTCATGATGCTATGATGGATGTCTAGCCCCCATACTAGTAATGTTTCCAACAACAACAACAGCCACCAAAGCCTTTTCCCAACTATTAGGGGTTGGCTACATGAATACTACGTTTCCATTATTTGGCATCAATAGATGGCTCATTTCTATCCAAATACATACGACTCTTCTTGCTTATTTTTATTCAATTTAAGTCATAATTCGGAAATTCACAATATTGTTGGATTTCCATTACCTATAGTTCACTTCCAAATTTTTGCCTATATGCAAATGGATGAAAAATACTAACTTACCCAAAAAAAAAATACTAGTTAACTCATATTATGATAATGTCTGACATGTACATTAAATGACCAACCAGCCACCTAATAGAGCAAAAAGTATCACATAGGCTCACCTATAAGTTTTTCTAACCATTGAGGGGAAAAGACTCAGTTTGCATCATTTTAAGGTTAATTGAGTCAACCACAATTCAATAAACAAAGCACTGGAATAGCATGTGAACCCTGCTAGCACAACTGCAGCATTTTATGAGTTGAGGAAACACAAATTATGAGATAACATAGGATAAAATGTAGAAATATCATAATGCTTCACCTGAGGCATGCAAATGATGGCCATTTCATTCATTGTCATTTTATTGGCAAGATGCAGATAAAGAATGACAGAAATTGAAATGGAAAATTACAACAAATATATACCATATGCACTGTTTGTTGTAGCTGCAGCAGCAGAAAGTAGGCTATCGTAGCAATCTCTCATGTCTTGCATGTCCTGGCATAAATGAAAAAAATAAATCATTGAATCTGCTAGACAACCTATCAGGGAATAAATAAATAAAATAACAGAATGCTTGAACCATACAGCATAGACATTCATATTTCCAGAGTTCCCAAACATAACTGGATTTATATAACTATATGATACAAAGAACCAAGCTGCAGAAGTTGTTCGTTCCCACCCTAAATCTACAAATTGGATCTTAGGATATTGGATTAAATTTGAAGAGAGAAGGGGGTAAGAACCCCATCATCATTGTCACCAATTAGAATATAGTGATATTGCATGATCCCCACCATTGCCACCTCCACTTCCACCAAGACTACCTTCATCATCCACCACCTCTGCACAAGGCCAAGCCCATTGCTCTTACCACCAACACCAATTTGGCATATTACATAGAAAATCACCATTAGCACCACCTCTAGTATCATGTTATGGCTATTATGTATTTCCGTAAACCATTCTGTCACTGCCAATGAACTTCTAGTATTACCACAAAATATTTTCAACATACTTACCATAACCACCACCTCAATCACTGACCTTTAAAACTCTCTCTTGCACTATCTTCTGCAACTTGTAACTGTTGCCAGGCCTTTGGCAACCAGTGACTAGTGTCACCACTAAATCCACCAAAATACAAACACTTACAATAATTCATTGCCACCATGCTACTAAACGTCAAATTTTAGCACAATATTCCTGCCACCACCATCACCTGTAGCAACATTTCAGAACACTAGTATTACCACAAACTTAGGGAACACAAATACTACCACTATATCTGTCTCAAATCCACCCCATTGTTGTAGCCACACATCGCCATCATATCAATCCCATCATCACCTCTAGCAACCCACTACCAATACTACCACCACCACTCCCAAGTAAGTATAAATAATTTTTAAAAGGAGTAGTCCACAATAAATAGATTTTTGGAAAGCTTTAGAAGTCCAAGGAAACTGGTTTCCAGCAACCATGGATCAATCTCTAGCCTAAAGGGACCTATCAAAAAAAAATCTCTAGCCTAAAGGGATTGATCCCTTGCTCTCAGCACTTGAAGGACCGATCCTTCTGCAAGAGGGATTGATTCCATACAAAAATACTGTTTTGCCCCTTTGATGTAATAAAACCAATTTTCATGCAATAACAACCTAGTGGACTACTAAATTGAGTTAAAAATAACTGAAATACTTTCATAAGAATATGCAAATTAATTATAATTCAATCAAATCAAATTAAAATTGTGCCTTCACTTAAGTTCAATTAAAAACCTAACTGTGAGTGATCAAAAAAGTTATTCAAAATACCTTTTGACCCTTTGGCATCTTTATCATTATTGATGAATCATCTCCAATTGATCAAGAAGTAATCAACTCTATCTAACTGACTCAAACTATAATTAAAAGTACATATTCCGGCTTTAGTTACAAAATTTGCAAACCTACGACGCTAAGTCCTAACACACTTGTACTTTTTGCTTTCTTTTTTCATTCTTTGTAAGGAGGGTCGTGTGCAGTAAGAAAGGAGCAAGTAAGGGCGTGTAGACTTTGCTCGAGGTCATGTGGTATGGTTGTTGAGATTCATGTAGGACTGTGTGATGACTAAGGAGTTCGCCAAGCATTTTAGCTTCACAGTAAGGAATAGCCATAGTGTCACGCCCCGCCTATGGAGGTTGTGCCACGCAGGCGACACACAGACGCTGAGGAGGATGCTGCATGGCAACTAAATGGCGAGTGGAGTTTCTAGAGTCTTCCGAAGTTGTCTAGAGTTGTGTGGAAGATTCTAGATATGTTTAGTATATTCTAGAGTTCTCCAGAATTGTGTGGAGTAGTATGGAGAGTTCTAGAATGTTGTAGATACTAGTAGATAAGTATGGAAGTGTGAAGAAGCTGGGAGAAGATTCTAGAGAATCGATCTCCACCGTTGGTTAGAATGCATCATAGCCATCCATTAGGGATGGGGATGCCTATAAATAGGAGTAGGACTTCATTTTGTAGCCAACAAGTCCTAAAGTGAGTCTTGAGAGCCTTGTAGAGAGTTTAAGTGCTAGTCTTGTACAAAGCATTCTTTGAAGTAATAGAAATGTTCTTTCCTTGCCAACTTAAGTGCCTTAGTGTGTGTGAGTGTGCAAGCCAAGTGAGAAGAGAGGCGAGGGCCACTACAACACTAGTAAGCGCACGAGGGGAGTGTGTTGGCTAAGGTGTGCGCGGGAGTTAAGCTGACCAAGCACTTGCAAGAGTAGAAGCAACGTCTTGGTGCCGCACGGGAGTAGCTAGAGTGGTACTGAAACTCTAAGCCCGGGTGAGCTTTGAGAACAATATTTGGCATTGATAGGATACTCAGGCATGTCTTCCCCAACAATATTTAAATTCTAGTTAATAAGGACACTACGTCTTGAAAGTGGAATAATATCTCAGATGGTGGTTCATTTTATTATATCTTATTTAACAAGATTTAAAGCTTTTAAGAAACAGATCCCTATTGACTAAGAAGCATGGAAATGTATATGGGACACAGATATGACACGACACCAACATGGCGACACAACAAACCTAAAAAATTAGAACACGGACACGGCGTGGACACGACCAATAATGAATACATTTTTGGGGAAAAAAGAATAATAAATATTTTGTATATATATAAGATATTGTAGTTTAAGAAATTAAGAGTAATATTACTTTTTATCAACCTAATAATGAAAAAGAAAATGTGTTTTGCTGGGAAAAGAAAGAATGATAGAAAGAGGGAAAAAAAAAAAAAAAAATGGATTAGGGTTTTGTTAGAATAAGAATTAGGGCTTTGTTAAAAATAAATGTAAAAATCAATAGAAGAGAAAACGTTAATGGAAACAAGAGGAAAAAGGAAAAACAGACGAAAAGAATTTTGTTGGTGAAAGGAAAAAGCGAAGTATCTGGGGTTTGTGAAGAAGACAAAGAAAAAAAAAGAAGAAAAACAAAAGGAGGGCGAAGAAGAATAGAGAAAAGAGGGAAGAGAGAGAGAGAGAGAGAGAGAGAGAGAGAGACCATCTACCGGCAGCGAAGCTTGGTTGGTGGGAGAACAAGAGAGAGTCAAAGATGATCGTGCAAGAGTTTGAACCTTTAAACTAAAATATAAGCATAAATATCTTATTGTTTTAATATAAAGTTGTTTTAATTATGTAATGACCATCATATTACTGAAAATTATTAAATAACTCCTCATTTTGTACACTTCAACCCATCTTTATTTCTAAAACTTTCTTAAAAATCTCCAAGAATGGGACACACGGGTCGGACACGTATATGTCCACGGCGTCCGAATATTAAAAATAAATAAATAATTCATACACGTTTTTTGGCATGTCCGACACGGATTCTTTGCCCTTTTAGGCGTGTCTGTGCTTCCTAGCCTATTAAGCTCCCGCATGTCTTCATTCCAGTTAGTGGTAGGGAGGATGATTTAAGGTCGAAGGCCATGAGAAATGGTAAATTTAAGGTTAGCTTTGCTATAAGGCATTGGGTTGGGGGGGAGTGAGGGCCAATGTATGATTCACTTCGCGAAGGGCATTGGATTGCTACGGTATCTTTCACATGGATAATGACCCAAGGACGAATTTGACCATCAATAACCTGACAAGAAAGAAAGTGAAGCTTGTGAATTGGTGTTGCCTCTTGCACATAAACAAGTATAAGAAATCAAAAGAGAAACACATTCCGATTCATTGTTCTGTTAATGAAGTTTTTATTGCTATCTTTGGCTCTTCTGCGAGTGCATTGGGTAATACAAAGCTTGCTGTTTGAGGTATTGGAATCTTGGATGGGGAAAAGGGTTCATAAAAGTGGTTGTGGAGATTTGGTGTGGAGAGGCAGAAATTATGGAGGGGGATTGTTTCTTACAGATTTTGGGAGGAGAAGGGCGGTTGGTGCTCTGTCAGGGTAAGGATTCCAAGAGGGATAGGTGTTTGGAAAGTCATCAGAAGGAGTGAAATGAATATTCTAAACACATCACATTCAGGGTTCAAGATGACACGGATATTCGCTTTTGGGAGGACTTCTAGTGTGGACTGTGGAGACCGATTACTGGCGCGCACCTTCCCTAGTCTGTACCAGATTGCTTAGGATAGACATGTTTTGGTTGCCGACAATAGCGGGAGGACAACCTAGGATGTGCGCTTTATGAGGCACTTTCAGGACTGGGAGTTGGAAGACACCATCAGGTTCTTGGCTTTGCTATATAATGAGAAAGTGAATAGTGGAGGGCCTAACTCCTGGACCTGGCTAACTTTATCTCATGGGAGGTTCAATATTCGCTACTTCTATAGGAGCCTTTCAGTTGATGTGGCGCCTGCTTTTCCGTGAAAGATTTTATGGCCCACAAAAGTACCTCTTAAAGTGGTCTTCTTTGTTTGGACGGCAATCTTGGGGAGGATCCTAACATTGGATAGCCTTAGGAGGAGGAGACAGGTCATTGTCAATTAGTGTTGCATGTGCAAGCGAGATGAAGAGTTGGTAGATCATCTTCTGTTGCATTGCCTAGTGGCCCAAGACAACTGGGATTTGGTTTTGGATTTGTTTGGGGACCTATGCCTCGATCTCTAAGTGGCATGACAGAGGCTTGGAGAGGTTTTACTGTGGGGCTCCAAGTCCGTGACTTTCTGAGGGTACCGCCCTTGTGCGTATGGTGGTGCTTATCGAAGGAACGGAATAGGAGGTCCTTTGACGGCGAGAGTCTCCTATTGGGGTGATGACATTCTTTATTTTTAGTTCTCTTTTTTGTTGCGTTCTTGGGAGAATAGTAGATTCTTTGGACATGGTGAGAGTTTAGGGGCCCTATTTGGTCCTTGAGCTTTTGCAGGATGCATTCCCCTCTTGAATGCCTTCTATTGATATCTTACTTATAGATAAATAAATAAAAGTGTTAGGTCAACTTGGAGAGCAATGTACTTTGTCACTGATGGTATTCCTGGAAGGACCAGACAGAAGTTCTGGTTCATTACCTAAAACAATTGATGCTTAGCTCATTAGTTTGCTTTCAAGGAAGGTTCTGTTTAGGTTGATCTCTTATGTAGATTTTCCAAGGAATATGCGGAGTAGGGTTGCTGGTTTCCTTTTGTAATCACTCTTGTATACAGGGTACTTAATATGAACTTGGATTGCACCCATTTTAGAACACTTTAGTGGATTTTCAATTACCAAAGAAGAAGACACCATATGTAGTTTGATGACCCTCCTGACACAGCGTTAATATTTTGAGGCTTTCCAGAACTACAATTGTGCCACATATATAGGCTTGTATTGTAGACTTGTGTCTATATACACCTAACCAAGTGTTATACCAAGGCACTTTAACTATGCTGTAACAAATAAACGGAGAACAAATGCATAGTACGAATCTTCATTCAAGGCACGACAATTGCCAAGAGATCCAAAACCCAGTGAAGATCAAGCAAACGCTTCAACAAAATTAAGAGAGAAATCAAATAATCAACCAGCATACTTTTTCAACTTAATGGAAAATCTCAAAAGTCATTTGCCAACTACCCCAATTAGGGAGTGCTATATTTATTTTATTGATAGTATATATCATCATTCTTAACATACAAGCACATGTAATCCAGTAAAGTTACCTCAAAAACCAAAACCCAAAAAAATATATATATTCAGAATTTTATTTTATTTTTTTCCTTCCTAAATATTTAGAGTTATGTTTCCAGTGACGAGGAAGAAATTGATGAGAAAACCTAACCCTACATTCTGATTGCAGAGAAAACGAAGGAAAAAAGAAAACAAACAAAACGAAATCAAAATCTGGACTATTAATGTCCGTTTGGTCTCACAGAAATACAAAAATCGTCTGGAGTTAGCCAATCACAATCACAGTCGCATGAAGTAGTGAGAATACAGAAATTTTAAAACGCAGTTGCATTTTCTTGTCTTTTTCTATCACATTTTACTGGCAACCAAACGGAGGCGTAAAGAAATACCTGAGAAGCCTTAGAAAGCTCATCCAATTGGGCCAGAGGCTCCTGAAAACGACGGTTTTTTCTGTCCCTGGCCTCGCTGTGCTTGTGGAGTCCAAAACCTCGCAGTTTCCAAGTCTTCATCTCCTCTAGAGAGAGAGAGAGAGAGAGAGAGAGAGCAAAATCTAAGGTTATGTGTTTGCTTTCTGCAAATATCTGAAATGAAAACCTAGAGAGAGAAAGAGAGAGAAAGCAGTGCTAATTGACCAATTTGTTGTTCAACTCCTCCATCTCCGTTTTAGACGCACTCTCGATTTTCTTCTTACGTCGGAACAATTTGGAAAAGAAAAAATGAAATATTAAAAAAAAGAAATAGAATTACACCATAATTGCGAAGACGAGTATGTGGAAACTTCATAATAAATAAATATATATATATATATATAATATGTTGCTTCTAAGTTTCTTCCTTAGGTTTTCAATTTTTAATTATTTTCTCTAACGAGTCCATTCAATAAATTGAGACGCGAAAATGGTCAAATCCCATCATTGCCCATGAAACCGTGTCAGTCTTTGGAATCAATTTTTAACGAAATTTATGATTAATTTAAATTTTAAATTGTTGAATTTAGTTCTAACTTCTTGAGCAAAACATGTAAAACAATGGTCTTGAATCATTTGTTTATTTGATTGATGATGATAAGAAACTTTTATGATTTCACAATATCATAATCAAGCTTTTCTGACAATGAAAATTTATATAAAACTATTTTTATGAATAAATATGTATTTAATTATATATCTATATCTATATATATATATAATAAGTAGTTTTTATTTTATATATACATTTTTTTATTCTTTTTTATAAACTTTTAAATTATTTCAAAAGTCACATTTCTTAAGCTAAATATATAAGTCGTTTTTATTTTTTTTATACATTTTTTATTTATTTTAAAAGTCACTTGAGTTATCCACTAAATATAATGGATACGTGTAACAAAGGTCATTTGTCCCACATCGAAATTGGATGGGAAAGTGATTGGGTATAAATGGGTGGGTATGCAGCACTACCCAATAGTTCGAATTTTTGGGTAAATGGGCAAGTGCCCACCCGTTACAGTTGGTATCAGAGCCAAACTCAGTCCTTGATCCGGTGTCACGCCAAACACCTGGCCCGGAAGGCGTCCGGGCTAGCATTCCAGGTAGGCAGGGTGGCCCGAACCGCAACGAGGGCGTTGCGAGTTTAGGTGGGGGAGAATGTAACAAGGGTCATTTGTCCCACATCGGAATCGGATGGGAAAGTGATTGGGTATAAATGGGTGGATATGCAACACTATCTAATAATTCGAACTTTTGAGTAAATGAGTAAGCGCCCACCCGTTACAATACACCACTTACATCTTTTGAGTCAACCATTAAATACAATAGTGATGTTCTTTCGTCTCCCATTCATTCAGTTTAATGATTCTTTCTTTTTTGTATTGTATTTTTTTCGAATTTTAATTTGTGAAAACTTTATTCATACATGATTTAGTGATTCAAATTGTCTAATTTTAAATTGAAAATAAATTTTCAATTTAACCATGTGCAGTCAACATACTACTAATAATAAAAGTTTAATAAATTTGAAATTAAAATTAAATAAAATAAAATGGACTTCTTAATTAGATATATTTATGTTAAATTAGTGTTAGAACACTCAATGGTTACAATTAAGTTTATGTGACCACTCAAAGGTTACAACTAAGACATTTTAATAAATTGGTATTGTTTTGTCATTTTAATTAACTTCTCGTGACTAGCATATTTTTTAAAATAATAATAAATTTTAATAAATTCACAATTAAAGTTATGATCAAACTCAAACCACTTTCCTTAGATGCAGCCATATGGCATTTATTGAATCAAAAGTAACAACTAAGTGAATAAATTTATGTAGAGTACATAATAATGCACTCAAAGGTTATAATTAGTAATTATGTGTTATTTTGTCGTTTTTAATTATCTTCTTATGATTAATATATTTTAAAAAAATTATAATATAAATTTAATAAATTTGTAATAAAATAAATAAAACGACAAAATAAAATAGACTTTTTAAATTGACGTAAGTCACATTCATTATATGCAATTATGTGAAATTTGGTGTATACACTCTACAATTACAATTAAACTAATAAATTCATAGTACACGTAAATAAGTTAGTTTGGTAAGTTTTTATTATTTTGTCATTTATATTTTCAAAAATCTATAATTATACATATACTACTTATAAAAGTCTAAGCATTTTTTTATTAGGGAAAATTACATATAAATGGAGTTAAAGTTCCATATTTACTTAGAGGCTGAGTCAAAGTTCCATATTTCTCTAAAATGGATTGCTGAGGTGGCACATGATTTTTTACTGTTTAGAAATTGTGGTGCCTAAAATACCCTTCCGCGAAGGTACTACTTTTTCTTTGAAGGTACTACTTTTTTGAACTGAAGGTACTACTTTTTGGCGTCCAGGTACCATGTTTTTTAAACACCCGCGAAGGTATTACTTTTTCTCCGAATGTACTACTTTTTTGAACTAAAGGTACTACTTTTTTGAACTGAAGGTACTACTTTTTTGTTAGGGAAGGGCATTTTAGGCACTACAATTTTTTAAACAGTAAAAAACCATGTGCCACCTCAGCAATCCATTTTAGAGAAATCTGGAACTTTGACTCAGTCTCTAAGTAAATATGAAACTTTGACTCCATTTATATGTAATTTTCCCTTTTTATTAATTCTATACATTTTTTTACTATTTTTTTAATCAAAAAATGAAATCTAAAGAGACTACCTTCTCAATTTAATATTCCAGTTTTCAATTACTAGTATTATTTATCTGTTGATGCAAAAATCTGCACGCTCCGGAGCCTGTGGTGATTCCTGCAAGACAAGAGAAGTGATGATCGGCATAGTACCGGCCGAGTGCACTCCGACGGTCCAGTTAGTACCCCACCATTGAATATCCTATAAAAGATTAAATATGAGATTTATTTCGTATCTTTCAAGTCGATTATTTACCTTCTTATAGGAGATGGTAACTGTCGTTACATATGGTAACAGACAGAGAGATTTTTTATGATTCCACCGAGATTTTGGGGAGGATAAATCCCTTACCCTTATCTCAGGAGGATAACGTCTGTGGGAATCGGAGAAACACAAAAGTCACAGCACTTTAAATCTCCAAGTCCCCATTCCAACAACGTGACTTGTAATCCCTTTCCAGCCACGAAGTCTGACAAGTCGTTGCTCCAACGTTATGAAGTCCAGCAACGTGACTTGCATGAAGTCCATCAACGTGACTCTCTATAACTCTCTGGGATTTAAACCTTGACGATTTCGTGTTGCTCACACAGCCGAAGGATCTACATGTTCCTCACACGGAGATTCAGCCAGTGGGATTTTCAGAAACCCAACTCTGACGTGTTTGTGTTACACCCGTCAGACAAACAGATGGGGTTTCAACCCAGCCTTTTCAGAACACAAAGTGTGTTATGCCTGAAAAAACAAAGACAACACTATCTATCTATCTATCTATCTATATAATACTATTAAAAGTGTAAGTAAATTTTAATTTTTAGATAAATGTTTATACAATTATATTAAAATAAATTATTAAACTTCATCTTTTCATCTCCCTAAAAAATAAATAAATAAATATTATTTCTCTATTTACTGTTTATCCTATGTAAAAGAAGTTTATTTATTTTTTAGTTTATCCAGGGTGTCCAAGATGGCACGAATCCTTAGGGTCCCTTAATTACCCGACTAATTCCTGAGGACTCGGAAGGGTACTTCCCCAACCGGGCAGGGTAAGTCACTATAGGGGCAGCGGAGGCTAGCCACAAAGAACACCCAGCCGGACTCGAACCCCAGACCTTAAACTTGCTAAGCTCCAAAGTTTAGCGAGTAAACCGTTGGGCCATATCCGAAGTGGATCTATGTAAAAGAAGTTGAATAGCCTAATCTGTTAAACAATTACTCTTCACCTCTTAGATTTTCCCTCTTTAAATTATATGAATTTTCCCATAACATATATTGTTCTTATTATTTGCCATGATCAAAATCTCTACTCTTACTTTTGTTATTTGTTGTTTTTACAGTTCCTACAATTTATCCTTTAGATATTTATACGTCCATGCATGGTTATGATGAACCAAGAGGGATAGGGGGTGAATTGGTACTTTTACTTTTTTTTTGACACTTACATATTTTTCTCAAACAAATATAACACCACAATAAGTTTAAACCATTTACATATTTTACTAAGTTGATGAAACCCTAATTTGTCACAAGTGTTTGATAAAACTTAATTTAAAGCCCCAAAGTTACCAGGTTTTTACAAGGAAAATCCCCCTCAATGGAGATAAAAAATAAATAAATAAAAAAGCCTCGTGGACTTAACCCATAATCATTCAATACTTGTATTCAAATTGATACACACTTAATTATCTCACACTCTACACACATCCTAACTCATCTTTGTGCACACAGCATTCCCCTTGTCATAAGCACCCCTACTTGGACTAATACAGCTCTCACAACTCTTCAAATACATTATAAAACATGGATATACATCTTACAATAGCTGTTACAAGATATTAAAGAGATTATACAACTACAAGATGAAAACAATACAAAAGTACTTAAGTAATTGTGCAGAATCTAAGGTATGAGTACTCAAATTGGAATGCAGCTTCAATACAGATCCAAACTTGATTTCCACAGCCTTATATCACCAAATTACATTTACTCAGATGATAAACATGATAGGTATAGTAAGGTATAACAATTTCAATACACAACAAGGCTTGGTTTCTACATAAAACCATAGTTGTCAAGGTTTGAAAGGCCAAATTCAGGAATGACCATTTCACAATTCAAAACTCAACTTGCACAACCTCAAATCAACAAAATAAACTTGCTTAGATGATAATCAAGATGGTCACAACAAGATATCAATATATAGTACTTAGATCGGAAGCTATAAACTAGAAAAATTCACAAACATTGAGGTATGAGGAGTTATAATCTACTGTAGTGATATAATGAATAAAGATATGGTTTCTGCATATGTAAAATACCAAAACAAACTTGCCTTAACCTTCTAGGAGCCTTAGGGATGCCTTAGACCAGAAATGACCCTCTGAACCACCATCTTGCACCAGCAAACCAGCTTCAAAAGGCCTTATACATCATCTTCCTATGAATATTCATACAACACAGATTTCTAAGATGAATTAAAGCTCACTCAGTGAATCAGGAACTCATAAATGCTTATATCTTTTGTGTCTCGAGATGACTTACACAATATAGCTCACAAAGAGGCTCTCATAGCTCACAAGAGGCACACACTACG